GGCCCGCACGAACCCCACGGCCCCCACGAACCCCACGAACCCCACGGACCCCACGGACCCCACGGCCCCCACGAACCCCATGGACCCCACGGCCCCCACGGGCCCGACGGACACCATGGCCACAACGACCACAACGACCAGAATGCATAAACCCAAGGCCTTACAGAGTTAGAGGCCTAGAGTCTGCACCCTATCAGCTCCATTTTGGTAATAATAAAAGTATTATTATTGTTGGATGAAATAAAAGTTATTATTATTGTCTAGATTTAAATAAAGCAAATGTATTCCGTTTGAAATGCTCAACAGTCACTTTTGTTTGGTTGGTTGCAATGTCTGATATGAAATTTCTAGACTTCGTACGTTCATTTGCTTTTAATTTTCAACATTATTGCTCTTTTCTAGTCTCTCATAATGGTCGGGTTGTTATGATACATTGTCAAGGGTTGTAAAACGCATCTATGAGGTTTCCATACCCGCGCATCGCCCAACGTCGGGCTCTGATACCATTTGTACAGGTCCAAGAACACTGACCAAGTTCATCGACATATTGTCCGCTTGGGTCTTCTCAGAAAAGTATTCATAAACTCCGTTCTTTCAAAAGTTTCAATCTATAATGATATTTCAACTAACAGCCATATAATCAATTGAATATATCCATCTACAACTACAACAATGAACATGCAAAGTTCTCGCACTGATTTTTATAATCTAAGGTAGTACAATACATATGATTTAGTTTAAACAGTGTCCATATACATCAGACTTTTCACCTTTTCAACAATCGAGAAGCCAATACTAACTGGATTATCCCAAGAGGACACTAAATCAAAGAGCCCATCACAAGCCAATGCCGTTCTTGTATAGAAAACAAAGAATGTGGCAAGGTTTTGCAGTCACATGGCCCAACATCACCGACCCTAATAAAAACAGTACAATATGTGGGGCAATTGGAATCTTATAATGCTAAACAAAGGATTTTGCAGTCAAATAAAGCTAAACGAACTACTACTGAAGATTCTTGGAACCAGGAAAGCATCCTAACCGATGGTATCAAAACAAGGAGAACCATACATAGAATTTTGGCAATATGTTGCAGAGTTTTGCAGAGAATTCAAGGGATAAATGAGAGATTAAAGGGGGCATCTAACTTTATATATAATTTTATAATAGTTATTGCTACTTACATGTACATGCATTGTCTGGTTCTGTTGCACAACAGCCAGACCATTCCTCTGTCACTGACCCTATAATAATATTAACAAAATTTGATGGGATGGTTTTCAATCGAGATAAATAAGACAATTCAATTAACTTTAGTTCACGCGGTTTCACTTCCAAAATCGCTAGAAAATTGCACTTACTCGCGTTTTGACTGCACGCCTAAGGAGGATGTTTGCCACTCCGTCACAATATGTGCAGCAGCTTGTCCACCATCTTTGTTCAATCGAGAGAAGTAAATTGTTGAACAGCTTGATCTTTGAGTTGGTGCCTGTGGTTGTTGGTAAACGATAGTGTACTGTTGTTCTCATAATAAAGAAATGGTCATTGTGAGAGATAGACTCGGCACTGGATTGCAGTTTTACCAATCATGAACCCAGGAACGACAGTGAATGCTACAAATGGGTCAGAATCTGGTGAAAGGAACATTTCATCAATTACGCTTTCCATGTAGACGTCTGAGAATCGGCTTCCTTTCTTTATTTGAAAAATGGAAGCCTCCGGTTCAATGGAGTAAGCTAACGAATGTAGGAGCCACACCCACCTTGCCATCTCTGCAAATGTACCAAAGAAAGTTGTATCTGGGAATTGACCGGAGCTGATTAGGCTTCTCTGGTCCAAATTACCAAATAATGATGATTCCATTTTGGGATGAACTAGTCGCAAATACTTAACCCGACAAAATTTGGCAAAGGCTGTCCTAGAATTTTGTGAAAGAAAATCTTTTGTTTTCCTTAGCTTCAGCTCCATGAATCTTGCAAAGAAAAATTGCTTCTGTTTCCTTTTTTCTGGCAAGGATTCATTTGGGAGAGAAAAATTGAGTTTATGGAAGGAGTCGAACATTTCCCTGAAAACAAATGCCTCGAATGCAAAGCATCTATGATCATCATGCCAATAAACAGCATCGGGTTCGAATTCCGTTGCAGCTGCATTAACATCCCAACCAGCAGATTTCATTTCATCCACCATCATCCGGACAAAACTTCGAACAGACTTTATTGTATGCCCAAGAACTTTAATGAAATGCCTCACGTTTACTCCTGATGAGTGAAGATCACCAGTGAAAGAAATCGGCCCACTTTGATTTAATCTTTTCTCAAGCAACCTATTCTGTTTTCTAATTTCGTCGATCTTCTCTCTCAGAAACATAATTTCGGAGTCCTTAAGTCTTGTTTGGGATTCCAATCTTTTCCCCATTATGTCATATGTTCCCACAAGACTCTTTTGCTCCTGAATTTCAGCCAAGAGCATTGTGGTTTCTGGTGAAGGATCAAACAGTTTTTTAAGGTAACACTGTTTCAATTCGGACAAAACTTTCAATTCTGAGATAACATAGTGATCAGCATCTTGAATACCTTCGGCATCATAAGGGGATTGAGCATACTGTAACTGAGAATATGCAGCTTTGACTGATGAGATACTAGCAAACAATTTTGCTACCAATACTTGCAATTGGACTCTATTCTGGAACTCTTCTTCGACACTATCAAAAGACTCAGATTGACTACCTGTACTCTTACTTGCTGTACAATCATCGCTGATCTTTCCTTTCGGCTTAACTTTCTGAGTCCCGTGCACAGGTGCTATCCCAGTACTCTTACTTGCTGTACAATCATCACTGATCTTTTCTTGCGGCTTAACTTTCTGAGTCCCATGAACAGGTGCTATCCCAGTTAGAGCTCGAATATGAAGAACTTTGGTAAAGGTGCATGCCAATCGACTCTTATTTGGAGTGAGAGCGGAAGATTTTACAGAGTCCATCTTGAGGGTGATTGAAGATGTCCAGATCACCGTCTGAAAATTAGAACGACTAACACATTAGCAGAAAAATTCATGAGTTTTTCAAGCCATTACACGAAAATTTGGATTCCTGTAAAGTTCTAATGCACAACTTTGCAGATGAACCACGTCCCTTGAATGATATCATGCCATGTGATATTCAATGCCATTGAGATGTTAGAGCAACAAAAAGAAAAGCCGGCAGCCAAAAGAGTACAAGAATGTACTTTTATATTCTCCCACCCACCAAAACCACGCAACATTTATGTTAGCAACAATCAGATAAAGTCATAAACTTAATAAAATACCTATAACTACATGTGCAAAAAGCTGTATGACGATATTAATTTAGTATACACAAATTCCTACCGTGCTATCATTAACATTCAGCTTCTGCTACGTCAGGCAGTCCATAGTTAGAGATCTCAGAACTTGGGGGAAAACGTAACCATAAACAGAAAGAGTACAGGACAGTAAAACACTTCCAATGAACTAATCCACACAATCATGAGCGAAACCAAGAACTAGTTGATTATATGGGAAAGAAGAAAATGCCAGGAAAGTCCCAAAATTTCCACACAGAATTAAGCAACAAAAGCCCAAATGGTCCAGAAGATCTAACAAAAGGCCAGCCTACAACAGCTATGAAGATCAAAAGCAAGCTCTAAAATAAAATTATTCAACTGCACATTAGAATATTTATTGAGATATTAAACAAATAACCAATTAAAAATCGACCCACCACTAGGCACGTATAAAATCAATAGAACAAACCACAGAAAACAGAATATCTCGCAATTGCAGGTGACGGCCATAGTCGCTATCTAACGTGAACATCTAAAAAAACGGGGACAGAAAGCACTTCAAGCTCTCCATTATCTAGCGTTACTATTAATAGAAGAGCCTTTAGTCAATAACTTCAAAGCCTATTCAAAAGAATCTCCAGGTTCCTTTTAGAAAGCCTACCATTTAGATGCACGTATATAGCACCCCCACACAAAAAAAGTATTGAACCAAAAACTGAAAAGGAGTTCTACAATAAAGATAAAATCAAAGACAGGGAGATGTGCAGTGAGATCAATGGTATCTGTTCTTAAATCACATTTCCTAAAAAGCAACATTGCTGCAAATGCGAATCATCTCGTGGAGTCCTTTTCATGATACCATGCTCGTGCAAACATCGGGAAACCCCAACTAAACAAGTTAACAATTAAAAAAAAAAAACAATAAACAGCAGTTTCGTTTACCGTACCTCGATGAATCGCCCAAGAAATCACGGAGAGTCCAATCAGTCAACCAGTCATCGCAACGTAAATCTCAAGGAAACGGAACTAGAAAACGCCGTGAGAAATACCCCTAGGGAAACCTCACCGACTCGCTAACTCTGCAGTAAGAAACACGAAAGAAAATTCTCAGAACAGAACCAAAACACAGAGACGGATTCTAAACAGTGCAATGACTATACAGAGAGGAACAGCCGGCGTTCACATTATCAAATAAGGATTTAGACAGTGCACCATCAGAAACATAGTGAATAAAATGCTAAACAACATCCGAGAATGACCTTTCCTCCATTAAAATGAGCAAGAAGAAGTTCGACTCTTCGCTGTCCTCAAAGTGCTTCTGATTTTGTGCTCTCTCCGGAGCTCGAAAACACGCCTCCTGAAAACTCGAGATGATTCAATGGCTTCTTTCTCTCTGTACCGCCGCTTCAAAGAAACGAAATTCTAGAGAGAGAGAGAGGGGGGGGGGAAGAAAAAATAATTCAGAAATCGAGGAGAGTGGAAATGGAGGGAAGGGACAGAGAAATACAGGGAAGGAAGAGGGAGATACAGGTGAAAAGACGAAAAAGGACAAGGGTTACTAGGTGAAAAGACGTAAAAAAGGACCGTGTTGGGACGAGCCCGACAACGAGAGCCAACTTTCGGGATCTTATTGGACGAAAATGCCCCTTCACTTTATGATGTAAATTTCTAAATTTTTAATTTTATTATTAATAAATTATAAACAACTTTCCATTTTTGTATATAATATTTATTTGACCTATTTAATAAATTTTTTGAATTTAAGAAATAAATAAATAATATAATAATATATTAGATACGTGACATTTCAATCAACAAAAAAAAAATTATTAAAAAAATATTTTTATGTATTTGGTTATTTTATAAAAATTCATACATTTTATTGAAATTTTTATTAATAATAATAAAAATAAAAATAATAAAAATAATAAAAACTATGACAATTTTCTAAACCATTATAAAAAAAATTGGGTAATTTAAATAGTGGTGGGGGAATGTGGGAGGAGAGGGGTATTTTGGGAAGATCGTGAAGATTTTTTGATCTGGGCGATCTGACGTTTAAAAGAGAGGGTTTAAATTTATATTAAAAAAAGAGATGGTGGTCCCAGGATGTAAAACTGGTGTGAGTGAATACGTTGAACACGTGGTCACTCTGACAAGGTGGGCCCCATTTCAGCCGAAATCATAGAAGACTTTTTAAATTATCACTGACATTGGACTGTTTTTTTTTTTTTTTTTTTTTTTTTTTTTTTTTTTTTTTTTTTTTTTTTTTT